CGAAGTTACGGTATTGCTGGAAGAAGAAGACAAAGAACAAGAGGAAGAAATAAGAACAATAACTCTCCGGCGTCTGTAAGTCCGTCAACATTTCATCAAAAACAAAGCAAAAAAAAAAATATAAAAATAAAAGAAAACTGAAACAGACGATAAAACTTTGAGTAATGTAAGTGTAAACTTTTGTGACATAAACCTGATAAAGGAGAGGAAGAGTGAGGAGAAGAAGAGGAGGAGGAAGAAGAGAAGAGGAATAAGTAGAGGAGGAAGAAGAAGAAGAGGAGGCAGAAGAAGAGGAGGAAGAAGGAGGAAGAAGTAGAGGAGGAAGAAGAAAAGGAAGAAGAAGAAGAAGAAGAGGAAGAATAAGAAGAGGAGGCAGAAGAAGAGGAGGAAGAAGTAGAGGAAGAAGAAGAAGAGGAGGAAGAAGAAGAGGAACTAGAAGAGGAAGGAGGAAGAAGAAGAAGAAGAGGAGGAAGAAGAAGAGGAACTAGAAGAGGAAGTAGAGGAAGAAGAAGAAGAGGAAGAAGAAGAAATTAATAAACTTGAATAGAAAGAATGAAAGAGTGGGAAATGAATATAATAATAATAATGATAATAGTGATACAAAAATGATGATGATGATGATACTACGACTACTACTACTACTACGACTACGACTACTACTACTACTACGACTACTACTACGACTACTACTACTACTACGACTACGACTACGACTACTACTACGACTACGACTACTACTACTACTACGACTACTACTACACTACTACTACTACTACGACTACTACTACGACTACTACTAATAATAACAATAAGTAGAGTCTAGCTCGATCCGTTCCACATACATACATACATACATACATGCATACATACATACATACATACATACATACATACATACACACACACTGCTCACGCGCCCTTACCATGATGAGTAATTAATAGAAGATAATAAGAAGGAGGAAAGATAATTACAAGAAAATAGAATAATAAACGACGTAAAAGAACACGACTAAAAGAGAGAAAGTAAGATTAAGTAAGAATTAGATAAATGATGATAATTAGAGGGAATTAGAGTAAAGAATGGGAGGAAGAGAGAGAGGAGGTGAAAGAGTTATAGTGAGGAGAGAAGGTGGTGTGGTGTGTGTGTGTGTGTGTGTGTGTGTGTGTGTTTTGCCAGTGGTCCATTCTACTACTACTAAGTCACACACACACACACACACACACACACGAATAAAAAGTGGGCGCGCATGTCAGTCTATCCTACCACGGAACGCCTCTCGACTCGAAACATCTACCCTCCCACTCCTCTTCCTTCCTCTCCACCTCTATTCTATTTCTACACTTAGGACCACCCACTCCGCCCCACACCCCCTGTGCTGTGTTGACCCCTGTGTTGTGTTGACCCCTGTGTTGTGTTGGACCCCTGTGTTGTGTTGACCCTGTGCTGTGTTGGACCCCTGTGTTGTGTTGACCCCTGTGTTGTGTTGACCCCTGTGTTGTGTTGACCCCTGTGTTGTGTTGACCCCTGTGTTGTGTTGACCCCTGTGCTGTGTTGACCCCTGTGTTGTGTTGACCCCTGTGTTGTGTTGGACCCTGTCTGTTTGACCCCTGTGCTGTGTTGACCCCTGTGTTGTGTTGAACCCTGTGTTGTGTTGACCCCTGTGTTGTGTTGACCCCTGTGCTGTGTTGACCCCTGTGTTGTGTTGACCCCTGTGCTGTGTTGACCCCTGTGTTGTGTTGGACCCCTGTGTTGTGTTGACCCCTGTGTTGTGTTGACCTCTGTATGTGTTGGACCCTGTGTTGTGTTACCCCTGTGTTGACCCTGTGCTGTGTTAACCCCTGTGTTGTGTTGGACCCCTGTGTTGTGTTGACCTGTGTTGTGTTGACCCCTGTGTTGTGTTGACCCCTGTGCTGTGTTGAACCCCTGTGTTGTGTTGACCCTGTGCTGTGTTGACCCCTGTGCTGTGTTGACCCCTGTGTTGTGTTGACCCCTGTGCTGTGTTGACCCTCTGCTGTGTTGACCCCTGTGCTGTGTTGGACCCCTGTGCTGTGTTGACCCTGTGTTGTGTTGACCCCTGTGTTGTGTTGGACCCCTGTGTTGTGTTGACCCCTGTGTTGTGTTGACCCTGTGCTGTGTTGACCCCTGTGCTGTGTTGACCCCTGTGCTGTGTGGACCTCTGTTGGTTGACCCCTGTGCTGTGTTGACCCCTGTGTTGTGTTGACCCCTGTGTTGTGTTGACCCCTGTGTTGTGTGTTGACCCCTGTGTTGTGTTGACCCCTGTGTTGTGTTGTCTACTGATGTTCTACTACTACTACTAAGCCCCCCAGGATTGTCGGTGTTTCTGCCCACATTGCAGCAAGACACTTTGGCACGTCGACCAGGTGTTGAGGGTCGGTGGGGGGGGGGTAAGAGGAGGGGCTATGTACTGACTGGGGCTGCTAATGTCGGAGGGGGGAGAGTTGTAGTAGTAATGGTATTACAGTAACCTAATCCCAACCTAACCTAACCTAACATAGCCTTAACCTTAACCTAACCTTAACCTAACCTTAACTAACCAACCCCAACCCAACCTTAACTCAAACCTAGCCTTAACCTAACTCTAACTCAACTTAACCCAACCTTAACCTTAACCTAACCTTAACCTAACCTTAACCCAACTCCTAACTCAACCCACCGCCTTAACCTTAACCCAACCTTAACCTAACCTTAACCTAACCTAACCTAACTTAAATCTAACCTTAACCTAACTACAACCCAATCCCAACCTAGCCTTAACCTTAACCTAACCCAACTCAACCTAACCTAACCCAATCCCAACCTAACCCAACTCTAACCCAACCCAGCCTTAACCCATCCTTAACCTAACCTAACCAACCTAGCCTTAACCTTAACTCCAACTCCAACTCCAACCTTAACCTAACCTTAGCTCCTAACCTAACCTTAATCCCAACCTAGCCTAACTCAATCCTTAACTAGCTCAAACTTAAACCTTCACCTAACCTTAACCTAACTCCTAACCTAACTTAACCTTCACCCTACCTTAATCTAACCAACCCAGGAAAACAACAAAAATATTACCTGGAGGAGGAAGTTGACCTTATCCTGAAGGTTGAGGAGTTGAGGACGACCCTGTTATAGTGACTGGCTGCAGGGGGTGAGGTGAGGATGACCCTGGTATAGTGACAGGCTGCAGGGGGTGAGGTGAGGACGACCCTGGTATAGTGACTGGCTGCAGGGGGTGAGGTGGAGACACCTGATAGTGACAGGCTGCAGGGGGGTGAGGTGAGGATGACCCTGGTATAGTGACAGGCTGCAGGGGTGAGGTGAGGACGACCCTGTTATAATGACTGGCTGCAGGGGTGAGGTGAGGACGACCCTGGTATAGTGACTGGCTGCAGGGGGTGAGGAGGACGACCCTATGGAGTGAATGGGGGTGAGGTGAGGACGACCCTGTTACAATGACTGGCCGCGGGGGGTGAGGTGAGGACGACCCTGGTATAGTGACTGGCTGCAGGGGGGTGAGGTGAGGACGACCCCTGGTATAGTGACTGGCTGCAGGGTGAGGTAGGACGACCCTGGTATAGTGACTGGCTGAAGGGGGTGAGGACGACCCTGGTATAGTGACTGGCTGCAGGGGGTGAGGTGAGGACGACCCTGTATAGTGACTGGCCGGGTGGGTGAGGAGGACGACCCTGTTATAATGACTGGCCATGGGGGTGAGGTGAGGACGACCCTGTATAGTGACTGGCTGCAGGGGGGGTGGGGAGGACGAACCCTGTATAGTGACAGGCTGCAGGGGGGTGAGGTGAGGACGACCCCTGTATAGTGACTGGCCGCGGGTGAGGTGAGGACGACCCTGGTATAATGACTGGCTGCGGGGTGAGGTGAGGACGACCCGGTATAGTGACCGGCTGCAGGGGGTGGAGGTGGAGACGACCCCTGGAGGAGTGACAGGCTGCAGGGGTGAGGTGAGGACGACCCTGGTATAGTGACCGGCTGCAGGGGGTGAGGTGAGGACGACCCTGGTATAGTGACCGGCTGCAGGGGGGTGAGGTGAGGACGACCCCTGTATAGTGACCGGCTGCAGGGGGTGAGGTGAGACGACCCTGGTATAGTGACTGGCTGCAGGGGTGAGGTGAGGATGACCCGGGTAGTGACTGGCCGCGGGGTGAGGTGAGGACGACCCTGGTATAGTGACCGGCTGCAGGGGGGTGAGGGTGAGGACGACCCTGTTATAATGACTGGCCGCGGGGGGTGAGGTGAGGACGACCCTGGTATAGTGACAGGCTGCAGGGGTGAGGTGAG